TTTCAGAGTTGCAGCTCTTTGGCGAACTTGACCATCCTGGACTCAGTGACCCACATCGGGCATGATGCCTTTCGCAATTGCAGTTCTTTGGTGAACTTGATCATCCCAAACTCAGTATCCCACATTGGAGATCGCACCTTTGCGAGTTGTAGTTGTTTGGTAGCCTTGTCTCTCCCAAACTCCGTGACGCACATTGGGAATGATGCCTTTGTGAATTGCAGATCTTTGGCACGCTTGACCATCCCAGACTCAGTGACCCACATCGGGAATTGGGCCTTCAAGGGTTGCAGCTCTTTGGCAAACTTGACCATCCCAGACTCACTGACGCACATAGGGAATTCTGCCTTTAAGAATTGCAGCTCTTTGTTTGATCTTGCCATCCCAGAATCTCTGACCCACATCGGCGACGGCGCCTTTGACAATTGCCGCTCTTTGGTGAGCTTGACCATCCCGAACTCAGTGACCCACATCGGGGATTGTGCGTTTCAGGATTGCACCCGTTTGGCACATTTAGCCATCCCGAACTCCGTAATCCACATTGGGCAAAGTGCGTTCAAGAGTTGCAGTTCCTTGGCAAGCTTGGCTATTCCCAAATCGGTGACCTACATCAGCACATTTGCATTCAAAGGTTGTAGCTCTCTGGCGCACTTGACCATCCCAGACTCAGCAACGCACATAGGCATTGGTGCCTTTCAGAATTGCAGCTCTTTAGTGCACCTGTTCATTCCGGACTCAGTCATTTACATTGGAAATTCTGCCTTTGAAGGTTGCAGCTCTTTGACCAACTTGACCATTCCGCAGTCGGTGATCCACATAGGGCATGATGCATTTGCCAGTTGCACCTCTTTGGTGAACTTGCCAGTTGCATGCCAGTTGCGACATTGCTGATGGCTTCCGGTCACGTGACCGCGTGACCGCCGCGTAAAACCCATCGGACGAATCAGGTCCTTCCTGCCGGTCTCGGGGCCAAAAAACGGTCTCAGGATGTCTCAGGTCTCTTTTTGCGCTGCTTTCGGGAAGGACGTTTTTTTTTGAAGAGGGGGCATGAAGAATCCCAACCCTCCAACAGGTGGTCTCAGCTTTGGAGGGATGAGGGGTGGGCGTATCCCTTCCTCGTCCCATCGTCCCATCGTGGGCGGAGTTGCCCGGTGCATTTAAGGTTTTGCATTCCGCACCTTTAGTGACGCGCTCCCTGCTTATCTCTTGATGTTCTGCCCGAGCCTTTCTTGGGGGGATGATTCTGCCGAACCAGCGGTGGGTCAAGGAGAAACTTTGTTGGGTGTTGTGCATGTAGGGATGTCTACCGTCCTGTTTGATTTTTTTTGGTGATCTTGGTGTCATCTGGTGACGAGATTCAATATATCCAATATATACCCTCATTATAAAATAACTATGATAGTAACAATAATATATTATATATATATACACCTATGTCATGTACATTTATCCAAGACATATTAGAGGGGAATTGGTGCGTACTATTCATTTGCAATAGAAGGTCATCAAACATATACCCAGATCAGGAGTCGGTTTATACAAAGTTTTTTTTTATTGTAATGTTTATGTTGGCAACTCTATTATTTTGGAGTCTCCAGGGTCATCATGAACCAAATCTAGATCTGGATTTGGAACTCCTGGCGGCCAGGACTGCTGCCTCCGCCGCCTCCGCCCTGGCCGCGTCGGCTTTGGGTCTCCGTTGGATCTTCCCCAAGCGCCGTGGCCTCCGCGCAAAGGCTGAGAAGCCCGTGCAAGTGGCAGGCGGTGCAGCCGGATGTTCCTTTGAAGGCATATGGCTTTTGGGGGATCCATTCCCCCCTTGAAGACAGTCGCGCCCAGCACTGAGGGGGCTCATGATCTAAAACTCCCAAGGCACCCCACCCCGAACCCGCAGCGTGTAGCTTCCTGCATCCGTTTGAGGTGCCCCGGGCTCCTCCAGCTTCTCGTCCAACGGCTCCAGCTTTTTGGGCTCCTCCATGGCGGGATCCGAGCCTCGGCTCAGTCTGCGGCGGCGTTGACTCGGTCTCGGTCGAGTCGCGCCCGCGGACCGGGAGGTCCCCGACGTCTGGGCGGGGCATGGAGGTCCCTGAGAGACGCGCGACGTTCCATGGGGAGAAGATCTGAGACGACCGACCGCGCGACGGTCATGTCGCGATTCGATCAGCTTGGTAGAAGCGAACGGATGAACGAAAGATCCCCAGAGGAAATCCGTAGGAAGAGGGTGTTTCGATCCAAGTGAGGAGGGTTTTCATTGCAGAGTCTATTTGGAACATTTTGGAGCTACTAGGGCCTGTTGTTCAACACATTCCTTGGTAAGACCTACTCTTGGGGCATTGGCCTTGGCTTTTTCCTTCTACCCGCTCCGCAT